TTGAACTCAGGCCCTTGCGCTTGCCAGGCAAGCGCTTATTTTACTGAGCCATCTCCTTGGCCCTGGCATGAAGTTATATGTAATATAAGTTTAAAAATTTTAAATTAGGGCCGGGGAGATGGCTCAGTAGAATAAGCGCTTCCCTGGCAAGCACAAGGGCCTGAGTTCAGTCACTGGTTCTGCAAAAAAAAAAAACCTTCACATTCAGTAACAAAAGACAAGAAAAAAAAGTTAAGGTTTCTTGAAAGCAAACACTAATAGTCAATTATTTGTTCAATCTTGCATAACTATTTCTGTTAATCTGAGCAACAGATCTGATAATAAAAATAGATAATATAAAAAAAAAGAAAAAAGAAATGCTTTAAAATTGTTGATACTAGGCTGGCCAAATAGCTCACTGGATCAAAGCACCTGCAAGCTCCTGTTTGTATCCCAGGGCCTGCCAAGGCAGCCACTCCAATGGGATGCAGGGAGAGGTCAAAAGACACTGGGACTGATGGCATGCTCCTGTAATACCAGCTCTCGGGATGCTATAAACAGGAGGATCACTACGAGTCTGATCTAGTCCTAAAATACAGAAAAAGAAAATAAGGATAAAGTAAATTTCACAAAATTCTTTAAAGCTAAAAAAAAAAAAATAAAATGGATTTGTCTAATATAATTTTATATTATATATATTTCTAATTTTTATTTTATTTTATTTATTTATATTTTTTTGTGTGGAACCGGGGCTTGAACTCAGGCCCTTACACTTGCCAGGGAAGCACTCATTCCACTGAGCCATCTCCCCGGCCCCAATTATATTTTACATAGTCCTCCATAACTACCATTTTGAGAGCTTTTTATTCTTTATCCAGGATCATACAGCAATTTCTCTTGCCTTCTGGATTATGGTCTTTGTTATTTTCTATACGCTATGTCTGGAGGTATTAGAATATTTCAAGTTTGTATAAGTGGAAAATATTTTGTTTTTAATTTTCAGTTATGTTTTCTAAGTATAAAATTCAATGAGGACAGATTTTTTTTTCAGTCTTTTGGATAAATAAGTCTAGTTTATTACCCACTTGTTCTTTTTTTTCTAATGTGGAATAAGATGCTATTTAATTTTATTCTTCCATAGATAATGTTTTTTCTACATATATGCTTTAAGGACTTCTTTACAATTTAGACAATTTCATTTTTATGTATCTTGGTATGATTTTATTCATATTTCTTGTGAAAAAGATTCATTTTTCTTGGAAATGTGGAGCTATAATTTTAACTAAATTCAGAAATTTTAAATCTTTAAATTCTTATTGCCTACTCCCTTCTACTATGAGAATTCTAATTAAATGAATATGTTTCTTGATTTGGCATAGAGAGAACTATTATATGACTGATCTGTAAACTCTTCATGTTTATTTTAAACAATTTTTATTGTTACATTCATTTAAGCTTGTAAATTTTTTACAATTATTAATCTCATGTTATGTATTCATTTCAGAAATATTTTTCTAAAATTCAATGTCTACATCTTATATCTTTCATATTTCAATATTTGCCTCCAATTTTTAATTTGCTATATAATTATTATTGATTTTCAATAAAGTTAATTATGAGTTAAAAGATATGTCAAGGTCTCAGATGATGAATGAATTGTATTTTTTATTGAATTCAATTTATATATTAATTTTTCTGTGCCTCAGTTTTCTCAACTATACTATGAAAGCAAATATCACAGTTCATCTAAAGTGGATATGTATTGCTGAGAGTAGTACTTGGTAAATGCATAATGCAATATACTATATTATATAACAATAACTACTATTATTGCTATTAAACATAAATATTATGTTATTACTATTTATTCACTTTAATTTCAAGTCTTATAAACACAAAATGCTAAATAAGTGGAGTTGCCTGGAAGATGATAGTCAAAATTTTATTACTATTTGCTTATGGATAGTCTTATGGGCATTTATTTTCCACTCATTACATTTTTCAGTATACTTTTATAATAGGGTTAAAAGTTAAATTTTATGCTGAAATGACTTGACGAGGACTATGACAGAAATCTAGACTAGCTTAAAATTTGTAACCAGTCACATTATAGCATTAATGAAATATTAATTGAATCTATTGCTATGTGACAAAAACTTTACATTTATGTACCTTATTTTACTTAATTCTAAATTCCTTCGAACTAGAAGTTGTTTTAAAGTTTAATCAATATGACTTTACAGAACTAAAGGTAGTTTATCACACTGTTTATCACAGTCGACATTCTGACCAACTAAAAGAATTTTATTTTTCATTTTAAAAAGTACCAAGTAAAGTCCCAAAGGTGCCTTTCATATTAAATCTTTAATTAGAAACCACTTTGGTTTCTGACACATATTGCACAGATGCTTAAGTGTTAAATATTACTGGAGCTTGATTACAAAAGGCAATGATTAATTTTAAAGCAGACAAAAAAGATAGGCTCTGATTACAAAGGAATGATTAAGGCGAATGTCAGACATTGTACATTTATAGCAGTCTTTTGCCATTATCAAAGGATAAGACTTCGGAAAAGTTTATATTTAGAATTCAGGGTACTTTGTACTTCATTAGGTCAAGCAGTCCAATTCCAGTAAGGATTAAAGGCCCCTGGGGCTTTGCTGCTAGCAAACCACACCGGTCTGGCTGCAGAATGGGCCTAAGGAGCCACCATAGTTTAACTTCTCGTGGTGTCAGACCCACGCGAGACTTGGCCAGCGCCTGAGGGGAAGTTGGCAACCTGAGGTAGAACCAGTGAGCGCCAGGCTGCTGAGAGACGGTATTCGGAGGAGCTTACCTAGAAGAGAGATGAGACGGGAAGGGAGGGAGGAAAAGGCTGAGCAGAGCAAGACTGCTGCCCAGTCCTGTGAGCGCAGAGTCAGCTGGGCATAAGGCAGAGGAGGTCAAAATCGCCACATGCTTGCCGATTGAGTCTGGGCCGCCGAGGCCCGGGTTGGCCGCCCCAGACCCGCAGGGCCTGAACGCCGTTCCCAGCATGCTCCGTGCTCGCGCGGGCTGACAGGAAGTGAGGCAAGGCTACCTCAGGACAGGCCCAACCGAGTCCGTCTTTATTGTGCCTTGCAGGATCCTCAGACTTGGTTATAAAATATTTAACAGAGAAAGGAAGGATCCACAGGAGCCTCGGCCCGAGATGAGTTTCGAGTCCTTGTTTCAGCACATCATCTTTGCCGAGCACCAGGCTGAGGAGGGTCGGCGGGTGATGCGAGAAGGTCTGGGGTCTCTGATCCTTTCTGGGGGCTTTTGTTTTCTCCAACTGGGCGCTTGGAGGAGAAGGAAAAAACCCGAAGGTGGTGGGCAGAGCCACAGGGGGAGTTTTACATATTGAGGGAAGGACACAAAAGGTGTCAAACCAGATTCTACCAGCATGGCATGGAGACTTTACTAAGATTGATGTGTCTAAAGATTTAATTTGTATTACAGTAAGGTCAGAAATAGCCAGATGTCGTGAAAAAATTAGGAAAGCAACAGAGGAGCTGAACGAAGAGAAAATCAAATTGGACTCTAAGGTACTAAAGCACAGAGCTTGCTAAATATAACTTGGAAAAGTCTTTCTGAATTTTTTTTTGGGGGGGACATTATTTTACTCTTTAACTTCTTGTCCTTCAGTTATGAAGCACAGGACTTCTACGCTGGCTAGTGCAATTTCATGTCCCATAATGAGTTCTAAATCTCATGATGCTTCACTTTTGCTGTGACCTCCAGGTTAAGTACTGGAGAACTCATTGTTCATTTTGTGAAATGATTAAGTTTTTAAAAAGGCACAATGGCAGTGGAAGAGGAATAATTGTTTAATAAGTAGTTGGTGCAATATATACATTTTGAATAATAAATAACTTAAGTGTGTTATGTTGATGTAATGAATTGATTGTAACTTTTAAATGAGTCTGTCTGCCTTTTGCTTTTCAGTTCTCTACCAAATTTTGTGTAGGCCTTTCATCCAAAAGCATACCACTTGCCTTTTTTTTTCTTATGGGACACATACAGAGTTCTGTTGTTTTAAAAATAGAAACGAGAATGGTGGCTTCTTGAAGAAGGATTTTAAAGGGTAGGTAGAATTACAGGAAAGAAAGAGAAATACAGGGGCCGGGAGATAGATCAGTAAAATAAGCACCTAGTCTTGAGTTCAATCCCTGGTACTGAAAAAAAAGGGGGGGGAGGGAGAGGGAGGGAAGGAGAGAAGGAGAGACAGACAGACAGACAGACAGAGATGCAAGAAAAAACAACATGCCAGAGACAGGAGATAAATCTGTCCCATGCATATTGCAAAAGAAATTTAGTCAAATGCAGAGGATGACCATCTGGAATTAGAGGAAACTGTTGTAACCCAAAAATCAAAAACTGGACTCAGCTTAAAAATGTAAAAAGCTCTTTATTTAGCTGAGCTCAGGGGTGGCACATACTCTCCTCTCCAAGTAAGTGCGCTCAGGTGGGGAGAAACAAGGGTTTTTAAGGCTGAAAACCGCAAAGGGGAGGTCTTGTGACTTGAGCGGGAGGGAATGCAGCATGGGTCAGCATCCATTTACGGGAAACAGGTTACATTCTTTCAACATGCGGTTACTATTTTCAGGAACAAACAATTAAATTTTGTGGCATGGTGTTGATCATGGGATGTCACAAGTTGAATGTTGAGATAATTTTGGGAACGGGGAGTTACATCCTAGAACAAATAATCATTATTTTAGGATATGGGGGATGATCACAGGATACATTGAGCAGATTGCTTTTTAAGAATCTGTGGTTAAGAAAAAAGGAATAGTTTGAACATTAACAGTGTTCAGAGGTCCCACGGCCAGCTTGAGCCACCAAGATGGAGTTTAAGTTGTCAGCTTATACCAAACAGGTCTTGATAACAAGGTCACAGTGGAAACATACAGAGGTGTATAATAGAATGGCTATTCTGGTTATAAAATGGAGTTAATCACATAGGTTATAACAGAAATGCACAGAGTTGTATAACAAAATAGCTGTTCTAGTTACAAAATGAAGACAGTTACATAGGTTATAACAGAAACTATGGGCAGTTCTTCATCAGGTTGTGGTGTGATAAAAGTAGGTTCAGGAAGATCTTAGTTCCGATTAGAAGAATAGGGGTACTTAGGAAGCTAAAAGCATTTAAGTGTGTCACAATGAAGGCCTTACTAGAATGTGAGGAGACAGTTCTTCAAAAGTATTTATTCAATGTTTAAGGCGGGACTACTCAAGCAGTATGCAATGAGAACTCTGAGCAAGTCTGTGTACTTCAGATATGTTTATTACAGCTTTTACTTTATGAAGAACTTTTCAGTTTTATCAATAAAATAATCCTAGGGGACCAGAGATATAGCTCAGTGGCACAGGTGTCTGCCTAGCAAGTGCAAGGTCCTGAATTAGATTCCAGTATCCCCCAAAATAAATAATCCTAGGATCTCTTCACTTTTTAAACTTTGGCCTTTTGTTCTGTGTCATGTTCAAACATCAACTAAAGAGCTTCCCCTTGCTAAAATTGAGAACTTTGGTAAAATTACCTTATTAAACAAACAGTAACACTTATGGTTGTATAATCCATTATTTTATGAGCAATATATTTATAAAAATGTTTTACCCATTTTATTCTTGTTGTATGCTTTCTGTAGTGTGTGTATACATTAGTGTATACAATGAACTAATGATTACTAATAGTGTGAAGATAATGGGAAAGTGCAGTCTTTTAGTTTAATTGACACTTAAAATTATAAGTATCTGTGGATATCATGTTTTTTGTAGGGCTCAAATCAAGTACATCTACTCAATATTTATCTTTTATTTTGGGGGGTACTAGGAACTGAATTCAGGACCTTGTGCTTGCCACTGAATTATATCCCCCACCCTATTTATCATTTCTTTGTGGTAAAAGTATTAAAAATCTGGTTACTAATATATAGTAAATTTTGTAATCTGTAGTCACGCTGCTGTGCCATAGAACACTAAAATTTACTTCTCTCATTTAACTCAGTACCTGGTGGCCAGTCTTTTTTCATTTTTCCTGACCTACTAGAAAAAAAACGTGTCTATTTAAAATAGAATTTGGAACTATTATTCAGTAGAGACCCTACCCCATACTTTGCTTATGACTAGCAGATAAACTAGCTGATAGCAACAGTGCCAAAAGCTCATGTAATGGGCAAAACATAAAGAATGTCATGATGTGATTTTCTCTTTCTTGAAAAAAAGTAAGATATTTTCAGGCCTGCTAATTAGAAGGTAAAGAATAGGCAAAATGTATATGACTAGGGCATGCATAGCTAACAGATATATTGGTATTTATTTGTTGAGCATTGTTCTAAACACTTCTTTAATCATCACAGGAAATCTGTGTTGAGGCACTATTCTTATCCTCTGTTTGTAAATGAATATACTAAGAAATAAAATGACTTGTACCATATATAATTTGAAAAATTAAACTATCATAATGAAAATAATGAGTGATGCCAGCATATTTTATTAAAACAGATTTTTTAAGGGCTGGCCTGATAGCTCAGTGGACTAAAGCATTTGCTTAGGCAGAGTGCAGAGGCCAGGGTTCAATCCCGGCATGCCAGGCCACCCCACCCCCCAGGACTCCCTGCGACATTGACTGAGACTAGGGGTGGTGGCACGCACCTGTAATCCCAGCACCTGGGAGGCTGAAAACAGAAGGATCACTACCAGTCTGATCTGTGTATTGAGACCCTGTACACCCTGTAGACCTTGTCCTAAAATACAGGAAAAAAGAACCCAGATTTCTTGAGCTTAGTTTCAACTTTTTTCTTCATGACATATAATGAGACATCTGAAGCTTTGCATCTGGGGCAGTATTTTTAAAAGGTCACTTATGTAATGTTTTTGTGTAAAATGCATTTTTGCAGGATTTGTGAAGATAGTGATCTGACAGATAATAATTTATTTTTAAATAAAAAGCTTGCTCTTTGTAATATTTTCTTTGTAAAATGTTTTCTTTTTGTAATACTTTCTTTGTTATTAAACAATCTTGCCTGAAATGGAAATATAATTTGTTGATATATACACATACATAAAAAATGATTCAATTGTTTGTATTAGAAAAGAGGCAGAGCAAATCTTTAACATTGTTTAGAAACGTTTGCTGAAATTAATTAATACAGCCTCATAAATGTGCATTGCTTTTTAATCAGCTCATATAATGGGTTATAATACAATTGTATCTTACTAATAAAATTAACATATGAGGGTCACAGTTCATGAGACACTAATTTGTAATTGAAATAATTTGATTTATAATTATAGTCAAGATGATATGTGTGTGTTTATAAAGATTTTAAAAGTGGAACTACAATTATAATGGAAATGACTAATGGAAAAAACTAAAGGAGTAATTATAAATTGATTTCTTGTTTCTTTTATTCTCTGAGTTAATTATATGTCTGCCTATAACAATGAAAATATATTTACTTGAATATTTGACTTGGCACTTATTGACCCATTTATCAAGTGGAAGCACAGTATGAGGAGAAACTAGAACATACTTTGAATAGAAGAGTGCTTGAGCTGTTGTGCAACTGTATATTTGGAAAATATTTGGAGCATTTATTTTGGAGGCTTCTTGTGGTCAAAATGTATTTGGGAAGTACAGTATTCATTTTTTTCCCCTGCTCTGTAAAACTCAGGTAGCATGTAATTAGAACTTGAATGATAGCACTTGCCTGTCAGGGCTCAATGGATTCTTTAAAATGTATGATTGCAAAAGTCTCAGATTGTATAGTATGAGTACTTTGTGAATTGGACAGCCGTATGCCTGGTTAGGTTTGGTAATACAAAAGCAGAAAGATAAGAACATGCTCTGGTTTTGCATTAATACTTACCAGTATACCTAAAGATTTTGCTAGTCAAGCAAAGGTTTTACAATACAGATAAGAGAGCAAACCAAAATTAAGAATTTAGGATAATTACATTTTCTTTTAAACACCTTTCTTCTATCTTAAAAATGGTATATAATTATAATTTGGGCATTTAATATTTTAAAACATCTGACATAAAACCTAGTACAATACCGTACTCCTTAAAAAGGAGTAATAGAGGAAAATTGAGGCTATTTTGTGAATATTGTGCTCATTTTACTTCTTCTAACTTACTGCATTAATATCATAATAATGTATAAATTTTAAAAGAAAAGGATATTGACATGAAGTAATTTAAGATAGCTCCATTTACTTCTTTACTTCAAGATGCCCAGGTTTTTTTTTTTAATTAATAAAAATTAAGAAACCTTCCATAACAGCAAGCAGTCATATTCTTTAGTACTACATTACCTAGTTAGGGAAAGAACAAAACCATAAAGCAATATTTTTTATAATATGGAAATGGAGTTTTTTAATTGAGGGGTTTTTTATATATATATTTTAGCAAAGAAGAATTTGGACCTATCTAATTATTTCACTTTATTGTTGATTAAAAGTTGCTCAAAAGGGTCGGCCATATAGCTCATTAGATTAAAGGGCCTGCTTAGGCACAGGCAGGGACTGTGGTTCGTATC